TCAGGCACTCCAAACGGCTCTTTAATTTCAGCTAACCCACAGTCATGCAAGATATTAAGAGCCTCTTTAGAATGCTGGACATGAAAAGTCTTGGTTGAATACCCTTGAGACGTTGGACGTCTCGGAAAGCGACATATTGATTTTCCATCCCTATCACGTTTTTTGCAACACCGGTACCCCGCCTTGCTACAGTTATGCTCGTGAATAGTTGAGGCTAATTCCTGCAGTTCTATGATATCGCGCTCTTCAGAAATAAGTCCCGCATCAATCATTGGTTGCGGATCAGAGAAGCAGTGCGCGCGTGTAGAAGACACTCGCGCTCTAACAGCAGGTGATTCAGGATCTTCCCCAGTCCAAACTAACGCATGAATATGAGGAAGATTGCCGCGCGTTGTCTGAAATTCCCAGCGCCACCATAACTTCTTTACAGGCCCCAAAGGTTGTTCATGTGAAGTTTCTATGTATTGCATAAGATAAGTCCCGGCACGTTGCCAAGCACGAAGGATAGGGACTAATGCAGCCTGTACAGCGCTATTATATTCCTCCTCTGAAGACGACCTGTAATGCTCCTCTATCCATTGAAAGATAGGACTGACCCCGAAATGTTCAGATTGATTACAGCTATGAGTGTAAAAATAGGTTGGCTGTTCCCTTGAAATTTCAGCAGCGAGCTCATTCACTCGCTTTCGGGAATCAGCTTCACTAAATGGTAAACGACCCTCAGTCTGAAGAGTCTGGAAAGAGGAAGGATCGCTAGATAAGTGTTCCCAACCGCGCGAGAGTATAATTCGACTATCGCTATGAGAGAGCTGTAAATTGAACAAAGCATCGAAATAGAACTGAATCGCCCTAGGATCGGTAGAAGTTAACAAGGTTGGATCTGTTAGTCTAATTCTAATATGATCATCGAGACTAGCATAGCCGACCTTCTTGCAGGCCGCTGGCGAATTCCAGAGGCAGTGTGGTAAAGCACCTATGACCGTTCCATTAGCTAAAGATTTCCAAAATATACTAGGGAAAAGCATGCCTTCTGGGTATAACAGAGGGATGGATGCTCCCGCGAATCTCGCTGTGAGACGCTGGAAAAAGGCTCCGCATCTGGCAGAGATATAATTGCTTATTCCTGAACGGTTGAGCAGGCCGTAATGCTTATTCAGCAGTACATGGCCGGGAACTCCGGTATTACTATCTGCAGTTACAGGTATGTCTGCCGCATTCGTCCCTGGTAAACCTACTTGCTCTATTTCCTCATCTTCCATCTCTAGAGGATCATCAAGATCGAACTCACCTTGGAATAGCAAATCTGCTTGATCTGCAACAGACCCTTCTTCTACTTGTTGCTGATCGATCAGATCCTGCAAAGGATCATTTGCGGCTGCGTCGTCATCGACGAGTTCATCATCCACCACTGGATCTAATTGTGCATCTTGATTATTCCGAGGAAATATGTATACAAGTTGAGGGCCATCAACAGCGTTAGTCAGCACTTCCTTGCTGTGTGCTCGACAATAAGCTGCTGTGCAGTCCTCAGATGGACAAGACCATTTGGCTAGACGGTTGCAGGGGAAAAGACCATTCTCATCTTGGAAAGAGCAGAGCGGCCTATTCCCATTGTCATCTTTAGGAACAGGTGTAACAACGAGAGGAATTTGGTGATCATGACAAATCATAGTACCTTGACCACCTGTAAATTGCAAGTAATGGAGCTTATTCCGAGTCAGATCTCCTCCAGAAGTTCTGACGTAGATCAAACTATGCCATTTCACAATGATATCACGTAAACTTTCTTGTGGATCAGAGGTTAGATATTCGATAGGCTTGGTCCTGGTATCTTTGAACCAAAGGTTATGATCTCCAACATTCCGAAGGTAACTCTCCGCTGTCCAACGACGAGCTCCAGCTTGTCCACCCTCCGGGTTATCCCATGGACTCGCGGCAGTACCGTCTGCGCGAATAATATTTGCAAGTTCCCAGACTGATCCGTCAGCAGTTTGGATTACCAATTCAGGTCGCGCAACTCTGAACTGCGTGGTGGGTGCAGCTGTAGTACAAATCGAAATAACGCTACACTTATCTCTTGCTTCATCATCAGGCAATTCAGCAAGTCTACCTTGAATGAATTGCGCATTAATCGGTATTTGACGTGAGCCAATATAACAAGAGTAAGTATTAGGCAGGGTATGCAAAAGTCTTGACAAAATTACTGATGTGTGAAGACAAGCTTCATCCTCATCTTCGTCTGGTAACAATCCGACTACAGTCTGAGCTCTCTGTTTGATCCAATGCTGAATATCTGCAGGCTTGGCTCTATGTGCACCAGCGTTATTGCGTCGAGAAGATGTTAAGACACCGGGAATGAACGTTGATAAATATGCTTTGCATTTGACAAGTCGCAGGACCTCCTGTTGATCTCCTACTTCTATAGGCGAACAAGCAGCAAAATTATACCACACTACTGGAATAGAAGATAGAAGCCGGATGAACGACCACAACAATGGGAAGAACTTACCTGTGAATGCATTCAGATTTATAGGTAAGGTACCATGGTTTGTCACTTGGTTTGCATTGGCGTACGCCAGAGGCCAGGTGATGTTGGTTCTCCTAGGATTATTTTGTTGAGGATTATTATCGTCAGGTTCTACCTCAGCATTGCCATCCTCAACATCATCCAGGTCTATTACCGCTTGTGCGACTTGATTGCCCCCTTGGTTATCTACTAAATCATTTCCTCCCTGGTCCCCACCTTGAATTTCTTCATCTCCAGCATTTGGGTTTCCGGCTTGTTCCTCCTCGTCTATAGCCACTACTACCTTTTGCTTCATAGCACGAAGTAGGTTTAGTGATTCAGGAGCGGAAATATACGTAGCACCCGCCAATGCTGTGTTTTGCTCTTCCTGAGTGGGAAGCCTGTGGAACTGCAGGCCTTGCAGGACAGGTTGGGCTTGGGGATCGTCACTCAAATTGGACTGAACAAACGAGTTAATTTCTGGTCGGTTAGCAAGATATAGCTTCTCTAGGTCACCATGATGGTTAGAGTGGATATCCCACTTTGGCTTGGACGTTATAGAAAACGAAGAAAGCCCTCCAAATCCGCCTTGAACAGTTCTCATTTGCCAGGTGTGAGACGAGTATTTTGCTTTCATACCATTGAATGGCTTTGGAGCGAAAATCGTTGGAGTCAACTGATCACTGTATGGACTAGGGAAGGTACCATATGGATTTTGAGGCACATGAACATAAGACTTAGCTGAACCATTATTATGATGACGGCAAGTGCATAAGACGAGACCCGACTCTACAGTGTTCCGAACTGACGCGGAAATTGTGAAGCCATATTGTTCAATAGGTTCGGTGAAATCTCTCCTAGCACCCCGCATGTGTAGATCAGCATTCGCTCCAAATGCTGTTACACTAGGGAAGACCCAACGAAGAAAGTTATTATACGAGATAGACCCGACTTCCTCAATAAATTCGGTACATCCAAATGGGCAGCGAGCTGTGGCTACAGCTGATTTATTCATGGCCGATTTCAGTCTTGCATAACTGCCAGAATTAGTATCGTTCGCGAACGACTCTACATCATACGTTATATCAACAATCTTACGTGATACATTCATGTTGGCATGCTCAAACTGTGGTAGTGATATTATGTTTCTCTGTGCAAGCCTCTCCACGAACGCATTACCCCAAAGATCAGAAAATGTCTTCGGTATGTAAGGTAAGCGCGTTCGAAGTTGTTGCGCGTTTGAGGAAGTGATTATGAAGTGAGTGAGGAAACTTCGCCACCCGAATTTCCATTTGTTATTTTTCTTGTTTGCACGATTCCCACGGCGCTGAAGCTCAGCGCCAGAAGAAGCATCACTCTCAGTATCGCTAGCGTCATTTTCATTCCCTAGATTGCGATCATCATTGTCCTGGTTTGCATTATTGTTCCGCGCGTGTGCGTTATGCGCTGGAACGGCTGGCTGGGCCAAATTTGGATTAATAGAAACATATTGAAAGCATGTCATACAAAGGGGGATCATTGGTCTATGATCTATGGCGAGCCTAATCATCGAGAACTTTCTACGACTAATATTATTGCGGTCTACTTCAATAGTGTCTATACGACACAGACAGCTAGCACAAGAAATTTCAACAGGTTCGTCTCCTATGCTAGACTGACCAGATAAACTATGTACATCTATATTTGAGAATGCTACACTAATAGTATTGGAATTATCTAAGACGGAATTTTCCCCTCCAACGCTGCCACTCACTGAAGTCCCTGTAGAGCTGTTTGACGATGATGACGATGATGACGATGAGGAAGACGAAGCAGAAATAGAAGAAGAGGAGGGAGAAGCGGACGACACAGGATCAGCAAGAGACCCCGTAGGTAGTGAGACATTATGGGTCTGCGGCCCAACCTGAATGAGTGACAAAATACTATTCCATCGACTGTTCTGAGAATAGCCGACCAGTGATTGAGTTTGACCTACATGAGTTTGAGTCGGGGCTGATGGAGGGTAAGAAGGATGGGGGGACAGGTAAAGGATCAGCAGACACTGGTAACTGAAAACATGTGAAGCATCCCAGTGACATCAGTAGAGTAGAGGTCTCGTTATAAATAAACAAGAGTTCAAGGTTGAACTTACTGGTGTTGCATGAACAGGAGAGGTACATGATGGAGTTGGTGACCTTGAAGACACCTGCTAGGAACAATTATGTGAGAGGTGAATGAATAGCGACAGATTACTTGACGTGCCTCGCAGCTTTTGCAAGGTCCTTCTCCGACATACTTCTTACATCTCCGACAACGACGACGTCCCCGACAATCGATATAAACCAGAGATGACATCTCCGACACTTGTGTGGGCAACGAAGGGGAAGGTGCAGGAGAAGGGGAAGCAGTAAAAGCCTACAAGAACGACACCGATCATTGGTTTAAGGAAACAGCCAAAAAGAAAATTGAGAAAAAACTCTATCATATCAGAGAAAGTGGCTTGACAGTACCGGCAATGTATGAGACAACAATTGTTGCTCCTGTTGTTGCTCCTGTTGCTGCTCCTGTTGCAGCTCCTGTTGCTGCTCCTGTTGCTGCTCCTGTTGTTGCTCCTGTTGCTGCTCCTGTTGCTGCTCCTGTTGCAGCTCCTGTTGCTGCTCCTGTTGTTGCTCCTGTTGCTGCTCCTGTTGCATCTCCTGTTGCTGCTCCTGTTGTTGCTCCTGTTGTTGCTCCTGTTGCTGCTCCTGCTGTTGGTGTTGCTGAGCTATATCATCACGTAACTGAACAGAAGGCCGTGAACGAAACCGAAAAAATAGACTCTATAGTCGCGGAAGCCATGCAGCAGATGTACTACGTTGCGTGCCGCACAAGTAGTACAAACTCCATTTTTGGTGAGGAAATGAGCACATTTGCTGCATTGAGGGCGCTTATTACGACGAGGTGCCATGGATGTGTTGCTGTGAAGGAGCGGTAGGGAATACACTAAGTAGTTTCACTACTTTAGCAATTACAACTAAAATAGTCCACAAATATTTGTTAACTACTAAAACACAACGGAATCTCCCCCATGAACAAATGACGTATGCGAACTACATGAAGCACTGTCACCACTTTTTATACACATGCCTGAAAAATTCATCCCTGGGTTCTAAAGGAGCAGTGGGTGAGCAGTGTAAGCAG